TACATTGTGAGAACACTTTGTCTTTTCCTGTTTGTCTCAGAGACCATCCAGCATCATGAAGTGCTTTAATGACACTCTTTCGTTTTCAGTGAGCTCTTGACGTTTCACCATTTTGAACAGAAATGAGGACTTTCAAACTGAATTCACTCTTTTATACCCAAATTTGAGGCGGCTCACATGACTTCTCTGAGAAGCCAGAAATGAATCAAGCGTAACATTCAACCACTAAAACTAAATTTTCTCTTCAAGAATGCAAGTAAATAACTATAATTTGACATCTTAATCAAGAAATAATGTGCTTTATTATTTTTCTCGGGTTTTTGTAAAACAGTAAGTTTTAAAAAATACTCGGACAACAATATTAATTATATTTTAGCATTAAAAATAGCTTCTAGCTTCCACATACAGGTGCATTAACCATTGCAGAAACATAAAAAATGATGCTGATCATTATAAATACTGATGTGTATATACCTCTCAGCCCTTATAGCGACCAAGATGCATCGTAGTGGGTCCAGGTCAGTTCTCGCTCCGGCTGCCAGTAACATCTCAGCGCAGGTCACGTCACCATTGCAAACAGCAAAGTAAAGAGGAGACTTCCTTAGATCCCCATAGTTCTCTGCAGTAAGCCAGTAAGAAAATAGATTAAAAACGTCAAGTATTGTTGTTTAACACAGCTGAAAACTTCACAACCGCTGTCGTTTATTACCTAAAAACATTTACTTGACATACCCGACCACTCTTTTCTATTGATTACACTACAGTGTGAAAACCAGTTTGCAGATATTTCAATCTTTCTTGAGATAAGCTTTGCTCTGTACAATCAGTTATCTTTGTTCTCTGGTCAAAGTTGCATTTTTGTTGTGTTGGAATGTCACAAGCAGTGATTTGTTTAACTTGTCAACAATATGTTCAAGAATACCTAAAGCACTTTATGTGTGTTTGTGCATCTTTGCATTTACTAAGTGTTTGTACTAAATTATGCACATTTTAGAAATACATTGTGTTGTTATAAGAGGTGAGGGGTTTGTACATATGTGCATCCTACCAGAGATGTGTGTATCTAGCAGGGCGTTGACATCGAAACCTTTCTGGATGAGCAGCTTCAGACATTCGACCTGTCCTCCGTCAGCCGCAGAGTGAACGGGATTCTGGCCCGAGAGACGGATGGCTCGCTTTGTGGTGATGGGGATGAGAGTTCTGAGGACTCTGCAGAAAGAAAGAGGGAGTGGGAGATAAACAGGAAGAGAGGCAGCACCAGAGACAGTGAAAAACACAAAACAGGACACAGAGAAAAATGCTCATTAGATTGTGGTTTGAGCTACAGTGTTATTTAGTGACAGAACTGAAAAACAGTATTAAACAGAAGTCTCTTTGTGCAGATGAAAACACTGCAGGGCTGTGAGGTGGAGAGAGACAGACATATTCTACTCCACAGTTTGTTCAATTTGGCTCCAAAATAAGAGGAAAAGAATTTTAATTTGTCTTGAGTGATTTCTGTATTTTGGGTAGCATGAGAATATCACCAAATCCAGTGCGTCAGAGTGACCGTCTGCTCATTCGGTCAGTCACACAGCTTCAGAACATGAAGGTTAACTCACAGTATGTGTCCTTCATACGCAGCTCTGTGGATGGGCAGCTGGCAGGCGTAGCTGGCTACGTTTGGGTTGGCTCCGTGCTGCAAAAGCAGCTTGACACAGTCCAAGTTTCCAGATCCAGACGCATCATACAGGACTGTGTCTCCGTTGCTAGCCTGGGCGTTCACATCACCACCTAGTGGAAGGCAGAGAAAATACAGCACAGTCTGACCAGAGGGAGACACTGTGCAGCTACGGTGTTTCCCAAAATAGCTTCCTTTCAGTGTTTTACCATGCTGTACGAGTATGTCCAACGCTTCAGTGTTGCCGTGATCGGCTGCAATCCCCAGAGGTGTCACCCCGTGTCCGTCTCTGGCTGTGACTTTGGCTCCATGTCGAAGCAGCAGCATGAGAATAGCCGGACAGCCCACCTGGTGCAGAGTAATATAAAATTAAGGAAAGATGGCAAAATATAAGAGAGAAAATAGCACATTTATCCTGAATGTTGTAATCCTAATGCAGCATCGTTCACCTTTGCGGCTTCATGTGTGGCCGTCCATTTAGTGAGACACACCTGCTCCACAAAGGCGCCACCCATGATGAGGGATAAAACCATGTCGTATGAGCTCTGTCTCACTGCTACAAAATGTACAGGATGAGACAGTAAAAACACCTGATTACTGATGAAGAAGTTACAATTAAACATGCAGTTGAGGTTGGAAAATAATCATTTTTACAAGTTGATTGACAACTACAACAAGTTAAAACATGTGCACAGGAGATGATTGGTGGTTAAATCAGACTAAGGACAGGACACAAAGCAGAGAGTCGGTTCAGTTTAGAAATGATAACACCCAATTTGTAAAGTATTCGGTGTAACAATACATTTTCCTAAAATGGCAGATCTACTAATAACTGTTAATGAGGGATGAATGAATGAGTAACTGTGTGCATTGTTTGTGTACCGATGAGCAGAGGAGATTCATTCCTGCTGTTGGTGTTGTGTGGTGAGGCTCCGTGCTGCAGCAGCATCCTGACACTTTCCACCCGGCCGGCCTCGGCAGCCAGAGTCAGGGCCGTGTCCCCCTCCTCCGTCTGCTCCTCCAGCGTCAGCTCTGCGGATGTCAACGCTGCAACAACAAAAGCACTAGTAAGAATTTAGAGGAAACACACTCAGTTCACGGCTACTGGGAAACATGAAGGTGTTCATCAAGCTTTGGTTTACTCTCTCACCCTGCAGCACCACGTGCAGGACGCCTTGCTGCGGCTGCACAGCTGCTGCGTGCAGAGGCATCCAGCCCCTGCCGTCACTCTCTCTGAAGGCAGACACACAACCTGACAGCGCCTGTAGTGCATCCACATCCCCTGTGGAGATACAACCAAGACCCACACAGGGAAACATAATATTCATGGACAAACTGTGAGTTCATCCACACAGGTATGAAGACATGTGTGACCCTATACACACAAAGTCTCACGTTTGTGATGTTGCAGATGCACTGCTTAAAGGTCCCATACAGTGAAGGTGTGTTTTTTGTGTTTCGTGGTTCTTAGAAACTTGGAGGTTTGAAGGAAAACCTGGCAAGATATGAAAATGTTTACTTTTGACATTCCTTCCTTGTGTTGTGAGTCTAATGTGGCTAGCATTAGCATTGATCACATTCCCACAGGTCAGAGCTCTGGGAAACCTATAAAGCTGAGGGACATTCAGGGAAATGAAGTTAAACCGATAAACAAGGATCAGATAGGTGGATGTGTTTTCATGCCAGCAGTCACTTCAGAGCCATTTCCTCACTGCTACTCTGCACCACTAAACTACTGATTTTATAACCACAATATTGTCGGACAAACTCATCAATTCTGTGACATTACAGTGTCCACTCAAAAAAAGTTAGAATACATTCAGTCACGGCTATGTTGGCTACTGTACGGTCAACTATTTATCTCTTCGCTGTCAATCACAGACACAGACAGAGTCCTCAACCGGAAGGGGCCAGCACCAGCACAACCACAGCTACAGCTACAGACACAGAAACAGAAACAGCATAACAAGAACAAAACCAAAACCAGCACAGTTACAGTGAAAGGAAAAGGAAGCCACTTAAAGTCAAGCCCATGCAGAGAAAAACAAGATCACAATCATAAAAAAAAAAAATCCTGAATAAATGACCAAAAGAAAAACAACAAAACAACCCACATAGAATAATAGCATAATCCCAGAATCCGGGGTAACGAAATAACCAAAAACCCAGAAAAGGAATCCACAAACGGTCGAGAGAGCACACCTGCCCAGCGTCAGTCATGCGTGGCAGATTATCACACCCCGGTCAGCCACGGAAGGCAATGTGCGTGTTTGTTAGTTTACACACCCAAACTCGCCGCCATCTTGAACCCTGTTTATTGAAATAGCCCGGATATACTCATAACTCCAACCTGGACTGAGGGTATGATAGTAAACAGGCAGAAATGTATTTTGAGGTGAAAATTTTAAAGACACATTCTCATATCATGTGAGACTTTGATTTTTTTGTTGAAAAGAGACACAATTTTGGACCTTTAACATGACTCTTTAATCCAAAATCACACACACATATAACAAACAGCAACCTTACCTTTGTGGATGGCTGCCATTATTTTCATAAAGTCGTCACTGTTTGTTTCTTTCCTAATAGCAATATGGGACAAAACTGGGTGAAATTAAAGCATTCACACAAGAAACACGATGATAGAGTTTACTGTGAATTTGGATTCTGCACATCTTTCATAACATTTGTTTATCCCGTGATCAAAAAAATTTGCATCAACAATAAACATTTAACAGGCGTTTTAACAGGCAGCCAAAGCCCAGAACTTTATAGACACTTTACCCTCTTTCATACCTGTTTGTTTGCAGTGAATATGGCAGCTTGTGGGCATCTTGAATGCTCTCTCGAATGGCAAACTCAATCAGCTCTTCGTTTATGCCCTCCTGTTCCAAGTCATCCATTTCTACATGTAGACACGAAACGACAAGCAAGCACTTACATGTGTTCAGTCGTAAACTCTCTTCTACCCGCACTTGTTCTCATAAAAACAAAGTTTTGCACACAATGAAGTAGCATTTGCAGATGAATTTCAATATGTTGTAAAACAAGTGACATCTGTCTTTAGTTTTATTCTTTATCCAGAGCTACACACATGCAGCTGGTTTATCGGTGGAGTATCACACAGTATCGTCCCACATTGTGCTGGCAATGGCATCGTAAGTGAATGTATCCATGCAAATCTGTCACATCTGACATGACACCACAAATTTAAGTTGCATTTCGTGTTAGTCGATTCATTCTTTCTCACCTGTTGGTCTGAATGAATGCCCTTGAGCTCCTTCTCACGCCTGCAGCCTGAGTGAGTTTTTTTGTTTTGAGGGGTCCTACGCCGTCTGGGTTTATTTATAGACGTGACCTGCTTTAGTTGACCTGCTCAGTGTCACGTTTTCACTCCCAGCTCCAGTGAACAAAGTACTCCTTCCCTGATTGCCGAACAGTGTCTTCATTTAAAATGAGGACATTTAATCACACGTAAACAAACCACACATTCCTCCTTTGTTTGCATTACGGGCACAACATTCTTACTGTTGTGTTCCAACACTCCACACAGCAGTGTTTAGTTATCACTTCCTAACTGTTCTTCGGTAGTTCTTCAATCTATCCTTTGTGACCGGTATTGATTCGGTAATGGGGATCAATTATGGATAATGATTGTTGCGTGGGTTCACTTTATTAGCATGCAACTAAACCTCTGCACACAAATCTATACGCATGCACTCAAACAAAAGATGTGTATCTTTGAGCCAAAGCATGCCAAATATTACAAAAATAAAATGTATAAATGGAATAAAAGGGCTCGAGTTTATCAGATAAAACCACAGGGAGCATGCTGGAGTATCTGAACTACCTTTCATCATCTCATTTTCACATTTTCCCGGCAACAGCTTGGGGAATAACCTTGACATATTCTAAGCGAAATATTCTCCCAAGAGAACAAGCACCCACTTTCTCCTGACGAACAAATTGATACGTGGGAGTTTATGGAAAACTCTCAGACAGCGTCAGTGTGTGACATAATGACTCAGCCTGTAGGCGGCCTCTCCACCACGTCAAAAGACTTCACCAGTGTGTCTGAAGTGAAAGCAGACTGCCGGCCGATCCTCAAGTTTCAACTGCACGCTTTGGACACTACACACATGCAAACACACACAGAGATGAGCTCTGCCTTTGAAGCGAAAACACTGAATTTCATGCACTGGATTTGAGAAACGTCGGATTCTTGCTCCATATGAGGAAGAAAGTAAGTGGCATGTTCTCTTTTCTTCTTCTTTTAAACACATTTCCTCTAAGTATGTGTTGTAATACTGATGCAGGTTTTTTTTTCCTCCACTTGTGTTCTGTTTGTTAAATAGCAGAATATTAGATTTTATGATAATCATCTCTTTGGTTTGCCCTTTCAGCTGTTTACTCGCAATAAAATGCGACTGTATAATTTCATAAAAATCACAAAGCTTCTGTCTGTCTTTAGATTTAAAACGAAAGATTTAAAACACTGAAGCAAGCTTCCTTTTGTAGTTGCACTAAGAGACATTTTAATGTGCTAAGAGGTCTGCAGCAACATCCTCCATACACTGCTGCTGCTACACTGTTTTAAAAGGGGTTGTTAAGTGATATGACACATTAGGGTAAAAGGGGTGAAATGGATTACTTGCTAGGTTAAAAATGCACTGTTACAAATTACTTGTTTAAATGGTTATTTTAAAAGAGTTATTAAAAAAACATGCTATCCTCTCAGACTGCCCAATTACCATTTAATTTATAGTCATATTTGACAAAGAAAATCTGCAAATGTTTTAAAATTCTAACATTTCAGGGCTGGAACCAATTTGGCCTTTTTAAAAAATGACCACTAAACATGATCAAAGTAAAATTATAAATCTGTCGACCCATTGATCAGTTAATCAACTGCAGCCCTGTTTTAGACAGAAACCCAAAGGCATTTTAGTTACAAAAGACAATATCCAACCTCTTATTTGACTGTGTTTATGCTCAGTAAAGACACCAGAACCCTCACCTCTATGTGGGGGAGGAAAGTAGTTGTGCTGTCCTATACAAAAATACAACCGTGATACCCTCAAGCGAGATGCTGCGTGCTTTTATAGGCTATTTTTATAGATACTATACCTGATGTAATGTAAATACACTGCATGATGTTTGTATGTTTCGGCTCCAGATCTTGAAAGCACCTTGTCTCTTCTTGAGTCTACTAACGAGTCTGAATCTCTGCTCTGGAAAATTTGGAGCTCCAATAACTGATGATGTGAGCAAGCTGTCAATATTGGTGAGATTACTGATGCATTTACAGCATGTCGTTGTCACATGATCTCCTGTTTATATATGCTGAATGTCAGTGTTTCTAGAAGGCTTTGAAATCACTGATATTGCGTTGTCGTTGCAGAAGCAGAATATTCCCTCTGATTATGAGATTCCTGTTAGTTACATTCCCAAAGAAGTGGTACGTATGAAGCAATATAAACTGTTTAAGTAGAAAATAAGGGAGTCTTGATTTTTTTTTTTTTAAATTGAACTATTTTATATCTCCAGGCTGGCACGTGCTGGGTGGTGTTAAATATCTATCCTTTGGAGCAAAGTCTGCGCAAGCTGGCCAACATGTTCGGTGCCATCTCCTCCAACAAAGAAAACATAATCGTCTTCATCGCAATGCTCAAGAGTTTGCGCTTCACCTTTGACCACGAGGAACTGGTGGGTAAACACTCACCGTATAAGCCTCTGCCTGAGTGCAAACAGCATTAAATTAAATTACGCGTGTTTGTGTACTGATATTTCGAAAAGGTTAAAGTATGATGAGTATAAAATCAGATTATGCGTCTACCAAGCACTTAGAGAGACGGCAAAGCACCGTCGTTCGGTTTTAGGCTGCAGTATGCGATATTTTGGACATTCAGGGGTCTGTTTTCCACATTTAATTTGATAATTGAGTTATTTAATGATGGCTTGTTTTCTGATCTCCCAGGAAACAGCGATGCAAGTCTTCCAGTGCCACTACCAGGAGGGCAGCTTACTGTCTGGCCTTTACTTCGACTACATCAAAGACGTCTTACAATCTGCTGCTCAAGGAACATCCGGCTTCTCGTGCAAGCCGCCGCCATGCCTTAATCTCCAACATACACCAGGTACATTATTCATTTGCATGTAAGGTGTTAATTTTTAATGGATGCCTAAAAAGCTGAAGGCAGCTTAACAGCCTGTTAGAGGGAAGATATTGATTTAGGGTCAAGGACACGCAGCTGTGGACAGCAATCAGATATGTAACCTTGAAAACGCAGACAGTAAATGTACTTAAAGGACCTAAAAAATCTTTAACAGCAAGTTTTATGCTGCTGGTAGCTGCTATGTACGTTTTTATGCTACTAGACATCACAAAGGGTGACAAAAGTGAGAATATTTTTTGAAATAGAGAATCTCTGCCTGTGATTGAGCTTGACTCCTACCAGAATCCTCCCTTACAAGTTCAATAAATAAAGATCAAGTGGATCGGCCTGCCTACTATCATATTTCTAAGGTGTAACTGTAGTCAGTAATATTTCCAATAATTTCCCTCCTCTAGGGAGTCAGGAGGAGAATCGTGGATACAGCTGGGCCAGGAGAACTCCTCTGCTTTTGGTTCTCATCCCCTTCATAGCTTGTGTTGTTCTCATAGTTTGGCTGGTAAGTAAGTAAATCTTTTACCCTGTGTGAATTTCCTGGTGTAACATTAATAACTAATAATGATCAAAGAATACAAACACAAGAAATACAGAGACATACAATGAGTTTTGATTTGGTTTTTTTGGGGTTTTTTAACTTGACGGACTGAGAGGTTTTAACTGTAGTCATTTCCAACTAACACCGTCATCAGATCAAATATTTCATTTCTGTACTTTGGTTGAAGGCCAAATACCTGCAAAGCTGAAGACATTTTTGTGTTTTGTGCTACGTAGAACGTGCTAACCCTCCATTTACAACAGCATTAACATTGTGAGCATACTGAGCATTTACTTCCCTGCTGTGTAGCCGGTCAGGGACAGAGCCTTGGTCTTGTTGAAACAAGACTAACCTTCACCTAATGAAGTTTTAAATTCAATTCAGTTGAATGCAATTTTACTACATTCACAACGTTATCTCAAGGCACATTGCATAATAAGGTGAAGACCTTACAACATTATATTATAGATAGAAACCAACAAATCCAAAGGTTCCCTTTAAATATGTTCTTTGGTGACAGTGAGAAGCCGTAGAGACATAAGTCTGGCAGAACTAGGGTCAGTGAGGGCAACTATATGCCTCAACCTGTTAAGGTGAGGATACAGGGGAGAGAGAAGAGCATAGCAGACAGAAGTCAGATGAACAACAGATAAGAGGATGATAAACGCTTGGTAGTTTAGTGAGACAGTGACTAGACAAACCACAAACTAAAGGTAAGAGAAGTTAATGACTTGGAATGGTGTCATACGGATCCACATAAAATGTCGGTAGAGGTGCTCATTACATCATGCGACGTCCCCCAACAGTCTAGACCTCCAGCAGCATAGCTAAGGGATGTTTCAGGGTCACCAGGCCCAACTATAAGCTTTATCAACAAGCAAAGTTTTAGGCCTCATGAACCCAAACAGGGAGCTGATTCCACAACAAATGAGTTTAATAGCCGACGACTCCACCTTCCACTCTGCTTTTTGAAACTCTATGAACCACAAGTAAACCTGCACTCTCACAGCGAAGTGCTCTGTTGGGATAATATGGTGTAATAAGGCCTTTAAGTTCCGATGGAGCGTGGTCATTAAGAGCTTTGTATGTAAGGAGGATTTTAAATTTGATTCTAGTTCTACAGGGCGCCAATAAAGAGAAGCCAATATGGGAGAAATACGATCTCTCCACCTAGTTCCTGTCAGTACAGTTGCTGCAGCGTTTTGGATCAGCTGGAGGCTTTTAAGAGAGTTACTGGGACATCCTGATAATAAGGAAATACAATAATCCAGCTTATGCATGAACTACTTTATCAGCATCACTCTGAGACAGGATGTTCCTGATTTTGACAAAATTATGCAGGTGACAGAAGGCCGTCCTAGAGACCAGTTTTATGTGTGGAAATATCTTTTTTATGTGTAACTCTAAGGTTATTCACATCAATGTTGGAGGCCAAGGAAATGTCACCCAGAGTAGCAATATGGTTAGATTTCTAGGATCTTTAGGGCATAATACAATAACTTCAGTGTTGTCTGAAGTTAGAAGAAGAAAATTCCAAGTCATTTTCTGTCTTTAACACATGCTTGAAGTGAATCGTTTCATTTAGCTTTTATAGATAAATATAGCTGGGTGTCATCTGCATAGAAATGAAAGTTGATGCAGCGTTACGTATTAATTTTGCCTTGGGGGAGCATGTACAATGTGAAAAGTGACGCTCCTACCACAGAACCTTGTGTACTCCATAACTCCACAATTAACTCCTTCACTAATACTATGTTCTTTATTAGTTTTTCTTTTCTTTCTTTCTTTCTTTCTTTCTTTCTTTTTTTTGCAATTAACACACTGATGTTAACATTTACCACTCTGCTGTGCTAAAGAAATTCAGACTTCCTCCTTTGTTGAAAGTATTGGAACACATTTATTGCATTATTTAGGCCAGATAATTGCATGTATGTATAGTGGGTCAATAATACAAATCCAAAAACCATTACTAGTTAAACCACAATGAGTACTTATTGTGGTTTCCTAACTGTTTTTTGAAGCAGAAATTCTTTTTTCACTGTTAGTTGTTTAGTTATTGATCAGAAAATATGATGCCTTCATATCATACACTGGACATGCCCCGACTTTTAGTGTTTTTCTTGTTTTTTGTGCTTCCTCTGAAAAGAATTATCCATGGTGCTAAATTTACCTCAACTTCACTGACTCTTGTTGGTCCCAGTGGGCCAGTCAAGTAAAGCCCGCCTGATAATGTGCCTCATTTTAGTGACCACTTCCAGGAAGAAAATTGTTGTAAAGTTCATCCAATATTCAGGAGTGGTTGAGGCTGTTAATGCAAAGAAACCCGCTTCAAAGATTTAGGATGGCATTTGTGATTTGTATGATAAACAGGACAAAGGAACACTTTTCAGTTCATGTGTGCTTTTCTTGTTTTGTTTTTATTATTTTTAGGTCAAGTCTGGAAGGCTTTTACCGATGTGCAACACTGAAAATAGCCAAATGGCACCTTCTGACATGATCCCAACTGTGTCTATCTCCATCCCACTTCAAACACTCGCCCACGCTGCTGACACTCAGCCGGTGGGGGAGGAGATCGACGAACATGAAAGTGGATGAAGCGTGATTAATAAAGAAGGGGGAAAAAAAACTGGACAGCAGTATAGCAACTTGCTCTCCAGGTTGTTTCTGTTATTGGCAGGAGCCGGCTGGATAAACGAGAGCAGTCTGACACTCCTCTGCTTTCAGTCGTCTGAGTTCACCGACCAGAGCTATTTCGCGAGAGAAAACTCACCTGCTGTGAAGGCACGTGTATTACAAAATTAACCCCCCGGCACTTCTTTGGAGGCAAGAACTCTCAGCACAATACCTGGTCATCTGCCAAAATGACTGGCAACGAGGTGCATGCGCTGCCTCGCCTCGGCTGGTGTTCTGACCTGTTCTGAGCTTTTGTTTTTTCCTGCCACTCTGAAGTGGTGTCGCTCAGGGTGTTGTTGTGCCTCAAATCCAAATGATATCACACTGTGTGGAGGACTTTTTGTTTTATTCTGCAGTCATCAACTTGTTGACTTTCCTCTCGCTGCATTCTGAATTCCTACCTGCTCCTGTTATTCTGATTTCTGCTAAAAATGCATCCGCAGTATATGCAAAGAGGCACATTCCTACCATTACAGTCTGCAGAGCAACAACTGAAGCTGCACTTTCTAACGCAGCCTGTCTTGTTCTTCTCGTTGACATTATTATGATCTGTCATCTGTCACAAATTGCAAACCCGCTAGTCACAAACAACACGCTGAGCAGTTCAACAAGCGTCCTACTTTGTGTATCAAAGATCTGACCAGATGGCAGATAGCCATCGCCAGAGGCACTTTGAATCCGCTCATTGTATTTCAAAGCTGTTGCCCAGTGATCTATAGCTGCTGCTCGGCCACAGAGAGTGTGTTAGAGTTTTTAATGCCTTATTCACCAAGTCAATCATGTTCAGTCATGAGAACATGACTCCCCCGAGTGTGAGCGCTCTTGTACTGTATGTGTCAGAGACAGCGAGCGAGAGGGAGGACAGGCAGGACAAGAGGAAGTGAGGCAGATAGGGATGGGTAGACGGACGGACGGATGAGCTCAGTGAGAAGCATAAGGAGGGCTTGTTCTCGTCACAAAAGAACTGGCCGTAGGCTGGAGGAAATGCCAGTTACAAACACGGCCGATGTCCACAGATCCCTATGAATCAACAGGCTAAGAATCTCTCCAGACCGCAGGCTACGTAGCCTCATCTACAGGGCCTGGTTAGTATTTCAATAACAGTTTTCTGAATTCAAATGATTTACTTCCAAAACATGAAACATGGATGTATCTTTATTAAAATGTTTGAAATATTTTCCTGGTGCAGACAAGATCAAATCATCTTTTTACGGACCACTTTGTATTGCTTTCATTTTTGTATTTTGTGAAAATGTGTATTTGTTTTGTACATAAGATATTTAATTTATTTTGTTACTGGATGAACCACTTACAAAATGTAAGGATTTTTTTTTTTTTCTAACAGTTGCAGTGTTGAAAATGAAAAACAGACCTATTCAAGCCATGAATGTACAGGGGGTAGACAAAATACTGTGAACACACAAGGGAAATGAATCAGCGTTACAAAAAAATACTACAGCGGTTGGTCACATTTTGTCAGACCCTAATATGAAATAGTTTCTCGGTTCGTACTCTCTGTTTCTGCAATTTGTCTTTGACTTTTCAGCCTGATAGTCTGTGTGACTGAATCTCCTGTAGTTTGGGAAGATGTTTCATGTGTTGCTCTGATAATTCACACATGACAGTGCTGATTGTTAGACGTCTTTTACACCTATAGTTAGTTAGCATTCAGTGAAAATGATACACCCCACATTTATAGCAGCTTTTATTGTGAAGTTGTTGTTGTTGTTTTTTTCAAAGAAATATTGATATTATTTTGTTAATCCCTGCAACGGGACTTATGAGCAAATATGTGTCACTGTTGTATGTGTGTAGTGTGTGTACGTAAATTCTGATACTATATGTCAACAATGTAAAACTATATAAAGTGTGTTGTTTCCATCACATTACTGAAAACATAATTACAGTTCAAATTTTTAAAAAGATGCAAAGTTCAGTGAAGGGTGGGCTTGAAAAAAAGATTAAATATTTAGGCAGAGAACCCATGCTGCACGGGGAGAACATGCAAACTCCACACAGAAAGACGAGAACCGGCGACCTTCTTGCTGCGAGACAACATTGCTACCAACTGCGCCACCTTGCAACCCGGTTTATAGAACCTGAAGTCGGATTAAAAAATGTGACAGTGAGCTATAACCGTGCTTAAATAAATAGTCAATTCTATTACTCAGATTTATTTTTTACTACATACTCAGATTATTAACAGGGAGACAAATTTAACATAGAAAATTATGTTTATTTTTATAATTAGAGATGGAAACAATTAATTTTTGGAGGAATTAATACATGTACTAATATATAAATGATATGTATTAGTAGTTCAATAATGCCGTCAATGTCCAATAATATTATTTCTCTAAAACATACATACTCACACCTGTATCTACACCTGCTACCTGCATCCAGCTGCTGCACAAGAAGTGTGTCATTTTCATCACCATCATTTTGAAAATGAATGCAAGTTGAATACATAGCTGTGCAACAAAACGGCAGGATGACTAAGTTAGCTTATCTACCATTAGAAAGCTGCTCAGTAATGAAAGAAGATGAAAGTAGGAAGACATTTTCCACGACTGATCAACAACAGCGGACTCCTTCATTCCTCTAATCTGCCACAGCGATGGGGTTGTCAACGAAATTTGGGGGTTTATGGGAGCTGTGTGTTTACAAAGTTTAATGTGAACAAAATGTTTTTGTTGGGGGGTCCAGATTCAGGCTACGGGACACTGATTGCCCCACAGTGGACTGAAAGCTGCCATGGAAATCTTTTCTGAGAAAACTCGAGACTCATCCAATCTTAAAACCCTTTGCTTCTTTGATACTAAATCTTTCCTTCATGCTTCTGTGAACAAACGACTTTTTGTTTTCTTTTGAATTTCCCATTGAGAGCAGAGAGAACTGTAAATGGAATGTAAACATCAGCAGAACTCCAGAACCTCAAAACCAGAATTCTGGACATTGATGATGTCATTGGTGTCCTTTGATGACATCATCAGCTGTCCAAAAAATGCTTAACTATCCAACTGGTTCTGCTGTACTCACTCGTGTTCAGACATTCTCAGTGCAAGCAGCAAAGAGTGAGGAGCAGCTTTTTTAAAAGCCCACAACAGCAGACATACGGCAGCAACAGAATCTTCAGGAAAGAAGACCACAATGACCAGTGAGACTTCAAAACGGAGATTAACCGCCCTGAAACCCTCCAACTGGTTCGGCAGAGCAAAAAATAAAGCTCTGCTGAACCAGGTGGAAGAACTTAAGGCTGAGCTCCACAGAGCTCAAGAAAAGATCGTCTCTCTGGAGACGCACAACAAAGAGCTCTGTGGAAACAGTGTAGTTCAGAAGAGTAAAATACAGCAGCTCTCTGAACACACTAAGGACCAGGAGGCCAAGATCGAGCAGCTGTCTGAAACCACAGCCAGTCAGGATGCTAAGATCCACCAGCTCGATGACTTCCTCAGAAGTGAGCGAGATGAAAACAGATCTCTGTGGGGTCAAATCCGGTATTTGACCATTGAACTTGAAAAGTCCCAAAGGTCCACTATGGACTGGAAGGACTTATACCACAGAGAGCGAGATCAGCATAGAGAATGCAAAAGTATTAAGGTGGATCTGGAGAAGCAGCTGACTGGTATGACTCAGCAACTGCAGGAAAAGCAGGACGCCATGGAGGAGCTGGAGATGGAGTACGCTCAGCAGAGAGAGTGGTACGAACAGCTCCAGGATGAGTGTGAAGAGCTGTTCAGAGAAACGCAGGAGCTGAGACAGAAGCAGAGAAATGTATCTTCGCTGCAACAAAGAGTCTCTGAGCAGAGTGAGCTCGTCGAACGTCTGCAAGCTGAGCACCACCACATGAGCGAACAATTCGTGGTCATGATGGAAGCTGCCAGAGAGAAGGAGAGGACGTTCCAGCAGGAGATGGAGGAGCTACAACAGCAGCTCCACCAACAGAGCTCTCCAAATGCTGAGGATGACGGAGATCGGTCCAAGATCATCCGCCACAGAAA